AGATGGCAGGGTGTGGAGGCGGGACTTTTAAATCATGGCAGTAAAACATGGCAGTTCCAAAAAGAAACAAAAAACATTTTGTCTTCAGTTTTGGACAATAGAAGTTATTCACATCTCTCTATTTATGTTGATTGTCTGAATACTTTCTGAAGCCACCGTATGCATTAGTGAGGCTATAAAACCCTCCAATTTAGGGCTAATCTAAACGCCACAGCATATAAATTATGCTAATTAGATTTGAGTGAAGTCTGAACTCGTGTTGTTGCAGTTTCATGGCATTTATAAAGTTCTATTAAAAGCCTCTAATCCCATTAGAGTTCATTAAGAATATAGACACCACTGTTCGAATGCTGCCAAAGTGTAGAAGGGCTATTCACCATGACACTTGGATTAAAGTGTGCTCAGATAATTCAAATATTTTAATGTGCTTCAGGCCCATTATCCTTTCCTTTCGTTAGATCAGCCATGTTGCTATTTCTTTTTCCTCGTTGAAAATCGCCTCCTATTCATCGTGCGATTCACGACAGAGGCTTTGCTTTGAGATAAAAAACGGAGGTAGAGGCTTTTAGTTCACTAAAAGCTCTTTATTTCTCCTCTTCTATCTCCTTGGTTCTCACCCTCTCGAGTTTAACTTCCCTAAAAGCTCTTGCTGCCTCTTTATCTGTCTGGTCTGTTTCCCGTTCTCCCCATCCTCACCCCAGCTTTCTCTCACCCACTCGCTGTCAGCGCAGAGTGAAGCAGAGACGGGAGTGACATCAGCAGGCTGTAATAAAGAGCTGCTAATACTTCTGATGGAGGAGAGTGCACGTGCTGGCTGAAAAAAAAAAAAAAATGACGAGGGATGGTAATCAACAGGACCGGGTAGCGTAAAGAGATGTTTGTTTGGTAGACCTGAAGAAGGAGCAGCAATAATCCCACCAGAAGTTAAGTTCAGGAAAATGAGCTACATGATCGTCGTCTTATTTCGGCTTTTCCCTCTTCAGGGGTCCCAACAGTGAGTCATCCTCCATCTCCGTCCTCTGCATCCTCTGTCCTCACTCCAACTACCTTCATGTCCTCTCTAACTGCATCCACATATTTCACTGGTTTCACTTTGTTGTTTTTTTTCCCCACTTTGGAGTAGGCTATTGGTAAAGAACCAATTTTGTTTCATGTTTCCTCAGACTGATGAAGTCCTTAGGATGGAGGGTGAAACATTTCGGCATAAAAAAGAAACTGTCCAGATGACCTGACTGAACATTGTTGGGTTTTATACCTCGATAATTGAGCATGAACTTTGCTACATCCATGTATCTCCTCTGTCTTTTTCCTGACGGCTACATTTCTAACTTCCTTCTACCAATATACGCACTGTCCCTCCTCTGGACATGTCCAAACCACTGTCCCTCCTCTGGACATGTCCAAAACACTGTCCCTCCTCTGGACATGTCCAAACCATTTCAGTCTGGCCTCGAACTTTATCTCCAGTTGTTCAACCTGTGCTGTCCCAAATGAGCTGTATGATTCAATGTATTTTATTTTATTTTTTTAAGTATGAAACCAATTTATACTTTAAAGGGAAAACAGTTTGTTAATATGAAAATATGTTGTCTGTTAAATTCTTGGAAAGAAAAACCCTAAATCCAACATTTTTTCAGTCAGGTCATCTAGACGTTTTTTGGTTTTTTTGTGCTGAAACGTTTCGTCTTCTATCCAGAAGGCTTCATCAGTCAAGGAAACGCACAACAAAACTGATTCTTCCCCCAACAGCTTACTCCAAAGTGGAATAAACCAGTTTTGTTGGTGCTAAGATGGTCTCTTTGGCACGCCCCCTCCTCCATTGCCGGCCCTCTTCCTTGTTGACAGTCGTGTCAAACTGGTTGAAAAACCCTAAATATTAATTTCGGTCGGATGTATTTTATCCAGTGGACATTCCAAACAATTGGTGCAGAAATAATTTGAAAAATAATATTTTCCTTCTTTCGGCAGCTCCCTTCTTCAGGGGTCGCCACAGCGAACTAACTCTTACAAAGACTTGGTGATTGTTTTTATGCCTGATGTCTTTCTTGACACAATAGACCACCGAGTTACCACAGCCCTCTGTGGGCGCCCAGGGGAGCAGATGGTGGGGGTTAAGAGCCTTGCTCAAGGGCGACCTTCGGATCACAGGCTCACCTTCTCTATCCTTTGCGCCACCACTCCCATCCATCCATTATCTGTACCCGCTTCTTCTTTTTGGGTCACAGGGGTCACTGGTGCCCATGTCCAGCAATCATTGCGTGAGAGGCAGGAAAAACCATGGATAGGTCTCCAGTTCATCACAGGGACACATAGGAACAAACGAGACAACCAACCATTCACTCTCTCTCTCATCACTCTCACCTAGAGACAATTCAGAGTTACCAATCAGACTAATATGCATGTTTTTGGTTTGTGGGAGGAAACTGCAGTACCTGGAAAAAACCCACACATGCACAGAGAGAACATGCAAACTCCACCCAGAATGGCCCAGGGCCAAGATTTGAACTGGCAACCTCACTGAGAGGCGGCAACTCTACCAACAGAGCCACCATGCCGCTCTCCCACCCACCACTCACCAATTAAAAAAAAAAAAAAACACTCCACTAACAAATAGTCATGTCTTGGATGTAGGCCTATGAGCTAATTGTACAACTTTATGTAAACCACTGAACAGACTTTAGTCAAACCAAATCAAGATGGCTGCCACAGCCAGCTGGCCTTTGGAAACACAAATGGTTATAACTCAGCTGATTTTGTAGAAAATGAGCCAATGCTTGATGAGGTAGTGGCTGAACAAATCCACAAAACTTGCACCGAGCACAGTGTTGTTTATCTTTCGGCTGCTCCCTGCAGGCGTCTCCACAATAAACTACAAACGTGCACGGAATATTCATTAACTGTTGCACATATTCATAAGTGCTTTGGTAGGCAAAGGCAATAGTTCCAACACCGAACGTCCACCATTTTGAATAGAGCTTGAACCTGAAAGAGAGAGAGGCCATGTGACTTCAAAGGTCCGCCTCTTCCCTTAAAGACATACACGCTTCTTATCCAACTTTGCTGGTCAAAAGAAGGTACTAGACAGAAATTAAGTCAATTTATTGAACTTTAAACCTTAATAAAGTTTACTAACTTAATTAAACACCTTTAAACAGGCCAAATTAAGTTTAAGCATTTCTGGATAACGTATTTCAAACAAATCAACCAACGTTTCTTCTTAAATTTGACAATAATTTCAGCTTTGGCTTTTAGTGTCCGTAAAACTCTCTTTGCTGACACCAGATTAAGTGGAAGGTAACGTGCACTTGGCCAATATTTGGGAATGTTTCATTGCAGCATTTATTATTTAACCAAAGTGTGATTTTTATTTTATTTTATTTTTTT